TCAAGTTTTGAAGGAAAATTGAATTGACTTACATTTTATCTTTAAAGGAATTTTATAAAAAGTCAAAGTTGGACCGATCAAATCTTGCCATCATTCCCCTGACCTGCTATTGCTCCTGTGACCTACATTAACTCTTATTACACATGTGTCCTTGGGAATGAGAGGAACCCTGGTGCTGTAGCTTTAGGACTCTGTTACTATACTTATCCCTTATTGGTTTTCTTGTGTTCTTTTATTCATGTATTCCCTTTTGTACTTATTGTATGAACTATTCATTCCTAATCTAAGATGATAGAATTTCCTAAGATTTTTTTTTTTTTTTTAGTGGTGGATTTGTCGAAGTTCAAAATCTATCAGTCATTTTTATTATTGCTGATGACTCACTCTGTAAAGTTGTGGGCCCTGCCTCCCTGGGATTCTCTGTGTATGCACCATTGGCAATACACTCAGGAATATTGCAGCCTTTTACCTCAGGTGGTCTGCTCTCACCTGCCACATCTTGAAGCAATGCAGTCTTGTTGGGAGCTGGAGTTAGTAGGCTGACGATAATTCTGGTCTCTTCCTTAAAGTTTTTTTTATGGGGCTCCACCACCTCTTAACACCCCACCCATACTACATCAGATTTGCTGGTACAAATTCACAGATCTTAGACCCACATCACAATCCCAGTCCTTACCCATAATGACATAGAGGGCTCTTTTATCAGAAACAGTCGCTGAGTCAATAGAGTCTCGTCCCAGGGACAAACAGGGTAAAACCCCAAAGACCCAGGGGGGAGCCCCGGGGCCAGGAACCCACGGAAAGAAATGAAAATAACAGAAACAAAAATAAAAACTGCTTACCTGCAGCAGGATCCATGGTGGAGTTAGAGGCGGGACCCCCTTGGCGCATCAGCCGCGTCTTTATAAAGTTACGGCCGGTGGATGACTGGCTGGCGGGGATAAAAGGGGCCACTGGCAAGGAAGCAGGGGAATCGAGGCTGGGAGGAGCGCCAGCAGGAGCGGTTACCCCAGAGGCCCTGCAGGGGCAATGGGAGCCGGAAGCTGATTCCCCTGGCGGGGAAGAACGTGGCAGAGCACATGGCAAGCCAGAGACTACTGGCTGCCACAGAGAAAGACTGGAGCCGAGGGTGGCTCCTCCGGACTGGGAACCCAGAGAAGAGAACCAAGAGACACAGATAGATGCTGACGTCCATTATGATGACCGAGGGGTTACTGAGGCCAGCATAATTTACGGCTTCACACCAGGTGGGACTGTTGGCACCAGGGAGGCGGAAGAGGTATGCCAGGTGGGAGACAGGAGGCAAGGGCAGCGGGACAGGCTGTCAATGATGGCCCTCGGTGGTACGGCATGGCTATGGCAAGGGTCGGGAGGACAGACACCTGTGGGAAGATCGCCGGTGGCCATAAGAAGTCCCAGGTGGGACAATGAGAGAGCAGAACGGAGGCAGAATTTACAGTAAATGCCGACTGCTAAACAGGTCTTAAACAGAGCTTAGGGTCCACATATGTCATTTGCAGCCAGGCCAAGAAAGAGGCCTGGGAGAGGGGACTTAGGAGTCCCTCAGATTGCATTTTTAGTCTTGTTTGGTTTAGGTTTTGTGTTTCCCACTTTTGGAGGGGGTGTAGAGCAGAGGAGACATCCCAAATATTATTAAGTCACTGGAAGAGTTGTTTGCCTTTGTTGAAAGTGGCGGACTCGTAGTCCAGGCAATTGAACACAAGTGTCCCTCTACGTAAGCAGGACAGACTGCATTGGCCACAGAAAGGGATCCAGGGGTTCAACGGCTGGGAGCCTGGTCAGGAGTATAACTGTAACCTGTCAGGCTGGGTATAAGGGCGAGGTATAGGGGAGGTGGAGCCTCGCAGAAGATCACCCGATAGCCGCCTCATAGTCGAGGGAACCCGGGTAGTCAGACACCAACCACTGAAGCAAGATCCGAAGTCGTGGCAGGGGAGATTGGGGGAAGACTACTCCGGGAAGAGACACCCACTCGACATAACAGCGGGGACGGATGGACGAATATCGCCAAACATCCAGGCCCAAGTGGCACGTGACCAGATGTTCGAGGCCAGACAGGCACAAGTCTCATTAGCTAATATCTGGTATCAGTTCTAAGCGATCGGCTCAGCCACCAGTTGGCATAGAAATGACTCCAGATAGCTAGCAATAGTTAACTGGGCCTTGGACTAAATAGATTCTGCTCAAACTCTCCCTTAGGTTCTGGAGCAGTCCCCACCTCCTTGCAGCTTTCAACAAAAAAAGAGGAGAGGCTTAAACTGAATTCTCAGCCCTACAAAATCCTCAAGCCTTCTTGGGGCAGTCCATGCCTTCTCTGGGCCAGAACTCTCCCATGTCCTAATAACAAGCAAATGGGAAGAAAGAGGGGGGAAAAAAGGAAAAGAAAAGGAAACAACAGCTGCTTCTTTAGCAGGCTTCTCACTCACCCCATACTCAGGCTGGGCTGCTCCAGTGTCAGGCTACATTGGTTTAGGTTCTCAATAGTCTCATGAACCTCTACTGGCTAGCTGTTGAGGCTTCTGATTCCATGGATCACCCCTCCTGGATGGTAGCCCTCCAACTACCTACGCTCTGTGGGCTTTTCCCTCCTGCCCACCCTGGTATTTCCAGTTTCCACAGAACCCAGAAGTGCTCTTGTACTCTGCTTGCCGGCCACCCCACTCTAGGACCTGAAATAGCCGGTCCTGAGCTTTTCTCTCCTATCTGGAGAGAAAGCTGGCTTTGAAACCGCTGATGTTCATGTGCAGCACAGCTCAGGGTTTCTCCAGCTGCCAGTATAAGTCTCCACTCCTCTGTCAATCCTGGCTCATTGAGCTGCCTCTCCCTGGCCCCATTACAATTATGTCCTTTCATACATTATATTATTAAAAAGAAAATGTAGCAATGGGTAAAACAGTGATTTAAGGCGGAAACACCTTTGGAGGGGACATCACACCAGTACACTTGTTATGATTAAGGTTAGTTCTTGTTTATTTTTATTTCATATTTTCAACATGAAAACAAGAGAAGTGGTGCTGGCTCGTACACTGGGGGTCTTTAAGAGGAGGCTAGATGTACACCTTGCTGGGTTCGTTTGACCCCAGTACTCTTTCCTGCCATGGCAGGGGGTCGGACTTGATGACCTGCTCAGGTCCCTTCCGACCCTAGAAACTATGAAACTATGAAACATAGACCCTGGCACCAATAAGATACAATGCAGCTAAATACAAACTACACTCTAGATTCAGTTTTCAGAGTGACTTTTCATGGCCAGGTTATAAGCTTCTGAAATATAGGATCATAATAGAAATGCTGACACTATCTTAACTGTCTCTATGATAGTGGGTGTTTTTCTAATACAAACAAATGACATTATTTGATCTTTTTTTCCCAGAGATGGTTTTATCTTGCCATAGTTGTGAAACTGAAATCCTTTTTGCTTAACTGGTGACAGGTTGGTTTTCAATGGATGGGAGAAATTTACATTGTACCTGCTCATCCTTTGTTTACTTTATAAAGACTGCTCCACTGCTATCCAATGTTATTATGTACTTACATTCAGTAACTGTAAATACATGCGTTCAACCTCAGCTTTAAAGAAACAAGCATTTCATATCCTAATTAAATGGATATCCATTTTAAAGATACTATATATCTAAGATACTGAATTGGCAGAAATTATACCTTTATCTATAAAATGTAGGTAATATCTAGAGCAGGGGTTCTCAATCTGTGGCCCAGTGCCAGGCCGTGGTGGGCCGGCTGCAAGTCTACAGCACGGTTGGCTGCCAGACCGGAAGTGGCCACAGACCAGCAAATTGCAGCCCCCCAGAGCTGGGCAGAGAGGCCGTGGCTCCTTCTGCAGGGCCCACAGCAGTGCAGGGTTTGGCCCACCCCACCATCTGAGGGGTGGGGGTATCCTTACCTGTCTTCCAGGCAGAAAATCCATCCGCAGTCAGCTGGGATTTGCTGGGCTGTAGTTTGTTGGGCCGCCGCCACTTCTGGGCTGCGGTTTGCTGGGCTGCAGCATAAAAATTTTGGGAACCCCTGATCTAGAGAGAGGCTTTCCTTGGCAGTCTTCAAAAACTGTATTCTCTGGCAATAGTTCAGTTTATGGCCAGTCCCTACGATGGTGTACCCTGGACTGCCATGAGTGTGAGAGGCATTTCCTTTTTCTTCTGCCTTATTGGGTTGGGGCTTGTTACCAACCTAATGGGAGATAGAATCCCTGTGGATAATAGATGCCTAAAAGAGGGCAGGTACAACTCAGAAACATAGTAAAGCTGGTTAAGAATGCAGGAGAGAAACACTCTGCAAACTCTTCAAGGACATTGTACTGAGCACATTTTGTTTGTGCATCCTGGGTGCCTCAGGCTGAGTGAAACTGAATTTCTTCTGGTACTCTAGATACTGCACAGACCCTCTTCATCACTTTACAGGGCTCCTGCTAGTGCATGGGGAAGAATTACAATCAAACAGCAGAAATTGTTAGTCTTCAATCAGTATACTATAATTTTAATTAAAGAAGTGCATCTGTGTAGCTTCTTTGTGCTTACTGGAGACTATTTTCTATTACAGAGCCTATAGAGTGATGTTGTTAAATGACAATGGTTGCAGGTTTCTATTCTTCAGTTAATTTTTCTAGCTAAAATGCAGAATCTTGCTGCCCTGAAGGGTTATTTAACAAGATTCTTAATGAAATAATACAAGCATTGCACTCCAGCGATTTCCCCCATGCAGTGAAATGTCACAGTCCATTGGTCTTCCCCAAGAACATTACATGAAATTACACCTATTTTCATTACTCTGTTCAAGTAAATATTTGCACCAAAAATGTGACCATTCTAAGATTTCCTAAGGTGTGAGCCATCCCACAAGGTAAATAATTAAAGGATGTGCTTTCTGTAGTAGCAGAAACCAGTGCTTGATATAGGTTTGATCATTTCACATGTCTCTTTGATAATCCATAACTGTCTTCTGCAATTATTTTCATTGTCCAGCCAAGCAAAGATAAAAGGTGGAACATGCTTCTTTTGCCAACTCCCAAGGAAACTCCATTATTCTTTAAAGGTCATGTGACTGTGAAAAAGCCAATCTGGGCAGAGAGAGGCAGCCCACAAGGACAAGCTCAGTATGAGCAGAAAATGAAGTTGTTACCAGACAGCAAACTGCAGCCCTCGATTCTTATGAATATTTGAATGAGTAACTAAAAACAGCTCAGTGAACTCTAAGCAACTGTGACAGCTGAAACTGCCTGGGAAACTAGCAGTCTACAAGGACCGTGATGAAAAGATCACCAATCACATTTCAACCAACGTTGCCATGAGTATATTGTAAAACATTATCAGATCCATTGTCTTCAAATATTAGTTGAAAAAAAACCTGTTCTCCACCACAAATTTTTGTGGTATGGTACCCACAGAACCTTTCATGATATTTTTAAATGCATTAAAATGCAATGATTTCTAAAATCTAGTCAAGGCAAGAGAATAGGCACATTTTCTAGACATTGAAATATTGATGTTGCTGTTGCTTATACTCATAGAAAATTGGCCCTAGTGAATCTTTCATGAATATCTTTCAGCTAGTTCCACGTGGAAAGAAAGATGATGAGAGCAGTTTCCCTGAAGCTAAAATGTTCTGAATAATCTTTAAAAAAAAGAGTGGGGAAGGGAGGAGTAACATAATAAGCAAAGTAATAGAGGATTAGGTTTTATTTTTGGTAGCAATTGGTTGATGCACAGTGGTCCTAAAAATAACAAAACATCAACACGCTTTCCCTGCTCCCAAAAAACCCTTTGTGGAACTGTAGTGCATTTTTCTGACACTACTTTGTTGCATGTATTTTCCACGGCTCTATGTAAAAAAAACCCAACAAAAAACCCCCAAACCCTTGCGTGGTATGGCCTTCCTGAATATATAGAGCAAAGATAAATGCATTGGCTTAAGTTTACCCTGCAGTCCCTAACTCACACGAACACTCTTTATTCAAGTGAATAGTTTCCATTGATTTTATTGGGGCTTCTTACTTGAATAAGGGTTGTAGCATTAGATATTTACAATATATCAAGATAAGACACATTTTCATTTAGTGTAGTTGTTGTTTTACTGTTGTAAATTTACTCTGTAAATCTAATTTCAGATGTGGCCGAAATGTTCATATAAAGTGGAGCTATCTTACAGTAAGAGATGAATGAGAGAGGATTAAATGCATTTTGAAATAAAGTAAAAGAGGCCCTTAAACAAGTTCACTTATTGTGCCAGTAGTTAATTATGTTTACCTGTAGGGTAAGGTATGTTGGTGCAAACAAGGGTGGCAAAATCTGGTCCAACTTCATACTGTAACAGTAATAGAGGCAGGAATATACTTTCTCAAAACTCCTATCCTGCCTATTCTGTAAGCGTACAGTTTATGTACAAATTAGACTTCCTCAGCAAATGCAGAATAACTTCCCCCCCCCCAAAAAAACAAAAACAAAAATGTAATACAAGAGATTCTACTGCTGATCTGGACTAAACATTTTACATAAATTTCTTTCAGCTCTTTTTGGCATACGTTCTTTTGATCTTACTCTAACTGTGCCTCAGGGACTTTACCTGGCTGTGATTAATTGAAAAGGTTTAATTCTGTTAACAACACATTTAGATTGAGAATGAATGTGATTTTTATTTATACATGCTGTGTGGTGTAAAGGTCTTGAAAGGTTTTGTTTATGCTATTCTCTGGAGTTTGTTTTGTTTTGTTTTTTGCTTACTTGTATAAACCTGATTTAAAGATCTTGAGAGAGGGAGAGAATAGCTTAGTAAGAGAAGGGAAAAATAATGATTAGGCTATCGTACCGGCTCTGTAGGATTCACAGATGTCTGCTAATTAATAAAAAAATCTAGCCATGGTGATTTATCTCTCCTCTTTCCCCCAGCATGATAAACTGCAAGTAATCCTAATGGTGAGTGGGGACAATCTGAAATCATGACAGTGATTGTTGGGCTGTGCTTACAGGCAAAACAACAGTTTGAGATGCCGCAAGAGGCACACTAAAAATAAAAAAATGTTGCAGCATGGATTCTAAATTTGATACTGGGAAATCCAGGTATCAAAAAATAACACACAGGGAAAAAGCGGCACAGGGCACGCTCCTGAAGCAACTGGAAGCTGGGTCCTCCAGTAAGACACTAAAGCATGAGGCCAGACTGTCTCTTTGGCTGCTGCATGTCCCTGCTGCTCTAGCACACTGAGACAGTGTGCTGGGGCAAACAGGAGTGGGGCAAGGCTACAGTGGTGGATCAGACCCAGGTGCTGTCCCAGGTAAGTAGGGACATGGGGCCGGGGGGGGGGGACTGCTTGGGTTGGAGGGATCCCCCAACCTCCCCCCACACAGTGCACAACTCCCCTTTTAGCAGTGGCTGTCAGGGTGCTCATGCCTGCTCCTGGAAGAGATCCCCAGTGCTTGCACATGGCGCCGGCTGACTTGTGTGCCCTCAGGCAGGACCAGGCTGTTCTCACTGTCACCTGGAGCTTCTGGCATCACTTGAGAGCTGTGTGCCCTCAGGCTGGGTGGGGTCCTGCCTCCATGTGCCCTGCATACCGTTGGGCCAGGCCAGCTCTATGGAGGCAGGACCAAGCCCTGCCTGAGGGTGTGCACCTTCTGCCTGCAGTGCCGGAAGCCCTGGGTGACAGCAAAAGTGGTGGGGTCTTGCCTGAAGGCACACAGGCCGGGCTGGGCTGAGCTAGGTCAGCACCATGTGCAGCTGCCAGGGGTCTCTGCCAGGAGTGGGCATGAATGCCCTGATAGCTGCTGCTGCTGCTGCTACAGTGGAGCTGTGTGCCATGCAGGAGGTAGGCAGGGGACCTACCCCTCCTGAGCAGTCCCCTTCCCCACATAAACCGATCCAGTGCTGGGAATGGGAAGTCAGCCCAGCTGGGCTGACTCCCTGCCCCAGCCTGATCCAGCACTGGGGATGTGAAGTCAGCCCAGCTGATCTAGTGAAATGTCAAAACAGCCTCACTGTTTCCATGGAGCAAAACGGAACAGCTGTTTCAAATTGAAATGAAATTTAATACAAAATGCTGTTCCATTGAAACCTTGAAACTCAAGGCTAAACGGAACGGTGCCATTTTACCCAGCCCTGATAAGCAGCACTGATATGCCGGTGCCTTGCTCCTGCCCTTGCCCCTCACTCCCTGCAGCTCTCCCACCAACTGCTTTGTGGCTCTGAGCAGTGTCAGCCCTTGCTGTTCTGCTCCTTGGGCCTGTGCCCAGGCCCCAGCGATCCCCATGCTATTCCTGGGAAGCCCTCATTTTATTATGATGATAGTGGCATTGGTCAGCTTCCAAATTGCTTTAAACTTGTAAATATATCAATAAAACATTGCTGAACTGATCTCTATATATAGTGGTGTTTCATTTTAATTTCCCCTAAACATGTAAAGCTTACAACAGCTTTCTTAGTATTTTGATGACTGCTGGTGGGAGCTAGGAAAACCACAAATGTTGTAATCAATATTTTGTGTTCTTTAAAAAAAAAAACCAAGTAAGTATCCTGCCAAATATCTCCCGCAAATAAGGTGAGGCCCTACTGCAAATACTTTTCTTCAGGCAGGAAACTTACATTGTTCCCCAATCTCTGCTCTCCCACTGTCAACTTTCCATTACCACTAGTCAATTTCACACTGGGAGGTTGCAAGCAATGGTGATGAGGAGTTTGTGGCACCACAAATTGCTGCAGCAACAAAGAATTGTTCCCTAAAAATAGCCTTTCTAGCTTGTTCCTCCGCCCCACCCTTATCTATTTTTCATTAAATAAATGCATCAAATCAGATGAATCAGTTGTGAGAGAGAGGGAGTCATCTGAACCTATGCCTGACCAAGGGTTTGTTTCTAGTCATGGAAAGAAAAAGTAACACTTGGTTTGAAAAGATTCCTGTCTCCCTAGAATTCTGTTTAAGAGGTGTCTGTCTGGGCACATACTAGCGACCTCTTCACCTACAGAGAAAAAAGAATAAGAGTTTATATCCTGCTCTGCAGCAGAGAAGCATTTTTAGCACTTATCACTGACTCTGGAAATCATTTCCTTTGAGATTTTGTTGGCTTTGTAATACAAAAACAAGACTTGAAAATTGATTCACTGCCATGTTTTTTTTCACCCTCACAGGAAACAATAATAAGCTTCCTTTGAAATAATCAAACTAAATTTTGGATATTTTATTTAGTGATTTGCTTTGATTTTTATAAGTAATGACAGAGTCCATTGTTAAGTCCTAGCTTTTCACTTAAAGATGACTGTTGAAACCTTTCTTCTTTTTTATGAACCATATAGAATTTCCTCTGAAAACTTTTAGCACTTTTCTGTTAAGTATTTTTTGTGCACTCACTAGTAAACTTGTTAATTTTTATGAAATTTTAAAAATAATTATTTCATCTCTTTTTTGTATGAAATGTAAGACTGGAACTTTACATGAATTCATTGAAAACCCATGCATATGCTATATTTAAAATAAAGTTTGTAATGAAACAGTAATGAACTGCTGTTCCTATGGGCAGGGCCAAGTTACTATCTCATATTATGAATATATCATTAATAAGTGGAGCCATTAGGATATCAGATATAACACACACAAACAATCCTTTCTAGTTAAATTTCAGACTGCAGTTCTACTGGTTAAATAAATCAAAGGAGTAAGGAGAGATTATTCATATGTAAGTATGGGGGTCAGGCTAGATGATCTGTTCAGGTCCGTCCTGACCCTAGCTACTATGAAACTATAAGTATTTGTTCAAAGCACTCTGGAAATGTCTGTCATATTAAGTTTTGGAGAGAAGAGGAGGAGTGGGGTGAGGGATTATCAAACTAGCAGGAACAATCTAAATCTAAAATTACCTTAAATTAGCAAGGGTACAGAAACCAGTAGGAAAGGTGAAAATCAAATGAATTAAGGAAAGATGAAAATCACCTCAGTATTTATTGAACAACAAAAGTTTGGTGTTTCCATACAGTGTAGCACACATGCTGGAGGTTTAAATCATGTTTTTAGAGATAGGCCTATTATATTTTACTTTCTCCACTATTTCTTCTTCATGTCTTCCATTAAGTTAATTCCTTTTTTCAAATGTCGTTCTTTATAGATTATTATGGACCTGTTAAGTGTTTCATGGGCCTTAATTACAAAGGTGTTCATAGAAATAAAAAAAATAAAAGTCTAGGATATAAATGGCAAAGTGTTTCGTGGTTAAGCATATCTCACGAAAATCATATGGATGAAATGAAGGCTAGGATGTCATTTTTTAAAAAGTAGGAAATACTCTTGATTTCCTTAGAATAACAAAACATTATACTCTTCACTGTTTGAAATGAACAAAAGGTTGTGAAGGGTTCAGATCATTTTTATCCTTTTTCTATATCGCTTATTGAGATAATTGCCGTGTTACCGGAGACATTGGGGACGGGGGGAAGGGGAATGATTCTATGAGCTATCGCCTGTGTAGCAGTGGAAACTGAAGTAACCTGAGGCAAAACAAGAAAGGTATTGGAACAAGTTCAGGTCTGGGAAATTATTACTTGGGAATTAAGAGCCCCAAAAAGGGAAGTAGCTAGGGTGAAAGTAGGTGAAGCAAATAGAGATTGAGTCACACCATAGGAATGAGGAAACCTCTGGCTTATTA